CACAAGAGGCAGAACTGGGAAAGAAGATGGGAGGCTGTTGGGAGCTGGTAGAGCCTGTGGGAAGCTGTTAAGGAGTTGCTGGTTCTCTTGGGCTATCCTGCTGAAGGACCTTTCATACTGGTTTCCTGATGAACTTGGCTATTCTTGCTGGAGGAGGAGTCTGGGCCCTCATTGTCACTGAGAATGGCTACACTTCACTTTGGGGGAGCTCTGCTCCTCACTTTGAGAATCACTTCTTGACTCAGGAGTGGAAGATGGTGCACAGCTCAGTCTCCCAGAGAAGCTTATCCCATTGGCTTTCCTGATGGGAACATGGCTTTCCTCATCAGTGGAGGAGCTCAGAACCTCACTGTTGCTGAGGATGGCTGTGGTACTTTTCAAGGGAGCTCTGGGTCTTACTCTGAGCATCACTTCCTGGTTCCAGTACAGATCCTGCACCCTGATGGCACAGACTTTCTAGCTTCCACCGCTGACCTCTGGGCCTTCCTCCCAGCACAGATCCATGAAACAGGCCTGCATGAGACATTATCATGGGCTCTAGGCCTCCAGTTGGACTTGTGGGAGGCACTGTGATGGACTCTAGGTCTTCAGCTGGACTCATGCAGGACACTACCATGGGATCCAGGCCCTCAGCTGGATTCTTTGGTCTTTAGTGTGTGGATAAATTTCCTGTACTCTCTTTTTGTATATGATTCTTCAGGTATTATAAATAATCTTATAAAATATGTGTCCTGTATTATTATTGTTCCCCTTACAAAACCCCAAACTACAACACATATCAAGGGATAATTCAAACATAACCCCCAAAAGGTTAATAAAAGCAAAAGAGCAAAGCTGGCAGACAAATGTCTACTGTTAAGATATAGGTCTCCAACTGAGAGAAAACCGGTCAAAACTTGCCATATATGAGTGAAGTACCACTCACAGTTATCTTAACAGGACTGAAATAGCTAAGCTCTTAAATTTGTACTTCTACTTTCCTTCTCTCATAATTTGAATTAAAAGATAAAGTATTCTTGGCAGTGAAGTCTCCCGTAATTTTCTGTGTGGACTGAGGTCTCCTCTTAATTTTAAAGTCCTTGTGACATTAGGTAGAATGGCTTTCTACCCAATCACCAACGAATAAGAGAATCTTAGACCAGAAAGGGATCATCCATGCTAACATGGAAGCCTCCAGCTCAACCATTTAACTTCGGTCTGAATTTATTCTATCATGTCAAGCAGTCTTCTACTCAATGCTTTAATATTTGCATGACTCAAGTTTTAGACTTCAAATCTTTAGAAAAAATTAGAAACTTCAGCAACAACTGAATGATAAATAATTAATACAGCATAAATCTTGCCCTCAAGAATCACAAATCCTTGTACTGAGCTGAAATTCACTCACATGTTAACTTCCTCTGAGTCCAATTCTCATTAATCTCCCAGAAGCAAACCAAAAAAATCCCTGTGCCACTGAACAAATCATTAAATATTTGAAGCATCTTTAATAGTGAAGTCAAAAGAAAACTATCCATTAGACTATACATACATACTCACATATGCAAAAAATTACAAATAAGACATTTCCTCTCTATTAATTATGAGGATTACCATCTGAAAGACAATAATATTTACAAGTGGTCATTTAGGAAATACTTTAACAGTACAGACTAAAGGAAATAAGGGCAATAGAATCATTTTCCCAGATGAATCAACCTTTATTTTTGTATCCAAAATGTCCAGCAGAAGGCCTGGATGCTATAAATGTTAAATGAAGGTATAAGTTTATGAATGAAATCTTACATGTTTGATATACTATGGCATTATGTATGGTCATAAATAAATGTATATCATTCACACAAAACAAACTGAAAACATTTTCAGATGTTCCTGACAGAAATTAATACTACCACTAAAACTTTCAAACTGAGGAAAAAAAATTTTCAACACAAAAAAAATTTTTTACAAGTATAATTACTAAGAAAAGACAGATGATAACTAAGAAATGCCCTTCACTAGTTAGATCTGTTAAAGCCTAGCATAGTAATGGTGAACCTTTCAAGGCTTTCAATGTAACCGCCTGCTGCAACACATGGGCCACAGGTTTGCCACAACTGGCCTAGGACCATAAAGGAATTTAATACAGTGAAACTGCAAAAGGGTACCAATGTTTCCCTTGTTTTTAACTGTAAATTAACCTAACAGCACTTAAAATCATTCTCTTAAATGTAACTTCTTTAGGCTCATCGTAACCAAACAAAATTTATACAAAGCAACAATATTTTTTTCTTCTTGGTAATGTTTTTAAGGGCTTGAATAATTTTATACTTACAGATCACTGTCTCTTACAAGCTAAACAAAATGCAACAGAGATCATTAGTTACACTCTGATCTTACTGAGGTGGCCATTAAAATTGAATGAAAAAAATGTACAGATAGATATAGATATTTATGTATTTTTTTCATTATATTCTTTTTAAAAAACACTATTTTACTTCAGTTGAAGAGTAGAGACAAAAAGCCTGGGCAGATTTTTAAAGTTTGGTCCAAAATATTTTCAAAGAACAAGGGTTGATACCACTGACTAAATAATATTAAAACTAGATTTAGAGTTGGGCATGGTGACACACACATGTAGCCCCAACACTCAGGAGGCTGAGGAAGAAGGATGGTAGTGCCTTCAAAGCCAACCTGGGCTACATAGTGAGTTCTGGACCATCACAAACTACACAGTAAGACCCTGTCTTAAAAACAAAGAAAAAGTGAAATTTAAAAGAACAAAGGCTGATTTCCAAAACAGTTGTTTTCTTAATACTGTGGAATATGCTTAATTTTTTGAACCATTTTTAAGAACACAATGTGCGAGTATCATATAACATTTTTCAACGAAGCACACCATGTAATTACTATAGCTTTTAAAGCTTTGCAGAGTATGTAAGAGAAATGCATAGTTGCATAAGCCTACATTCATTACTAAGCTGCTTTGACTATTTTACCCAGTCATCTAAAGTTGCTGGGAGAAAGGAATTGAAGAGGGTGAGAATGCACAGAAAACGTGAGCACAGCCCAGAGGACTGTGAAGTGATCTGAAACCACACAGCTCAAACCCTGCAATTCCTGAGAGAAATTGAAGACTAGAGAGATTCAGTGACTCAGGCAAGAGCGACAAGTGAGTGAAAGAGGCGGGCTTATCCAACTGAGCCTGACAGATCTGTGCAGCTTTTGAGAACACGTTTAAGATACAGCAGCAAGGCCAGACATGGAGAGTCAAGTACCACCATCACCACTGCAACAAACACAGAAACAAATCGAATGCCCTATCCCGACCCCTTCTCACCAAGGGTAAAGACTGTCTGGCTACCAACCAAACTTCAATCGACCAGCTAGTCCCGAAATCCAGTCAGTTACCAGCTACTGGATCAGCGCCACAATTTAGTGATTCCATTCTCCAGGTCCTTCCTCGTACAGGCTGACACATTACTACATATAGTTCATGCTACTGAAGGAACTGCATTTGATGACTTTCTCCAAGGTGTTACATTTTCCTCTACTTACAGATCACAAGCATCAGACTGCTATCCACATTCTCCCAATGGCAATTATGACAACTGTTAAAAATTTCCAGCTTTTCACACTGATACAGTCTGTATTTGTATGTGTGCATATTTTCCTTTTTTACATACTGATGTTCCTTAAACCTAAAAGTGAGTTCTTTCAAGGCAGGTACGTTTGAAGTTTAACATCTATTTTGTATTCCTTCTCTACAAAATATGCTGTCTCTCTTATCACTAACCAGCAATCAGAATCTTCTTCAGTTACTTCACAAACCTCTAGCCTGTAGCATTAGGATATTTTAAAGGAATGGATATGTCCCTCTATTCCTCTGAGCTAAGTTATATATGCAAAAAAATGCTGTATTTATCAAGTATGATGGAGAAAGTAAAGTCAAACCAACTTTTCACTAGGAGAGGGTCTCAATCTCAGGGCCACAGAAGGCAATCACTGGTCTATGAATCTGAATGGGAACCTTTCTCTATATGAAAGCTAGCAATTCCCTCATTTACAAGTATAGTCTACAAACCACTGTAATACTAGAAGTACCCATAAAGCTGTTATTAATTGAAATTATAAGTATTTATCCACCACTATTTAAAACTACAGTGAATAGCAAAATTGTTCCTAAAGCTGATACTCTGAGAAACGTATTTTAATCATTATGCTGGGGCAAAATACATGGGCTTCTCCAGATAAGTACCCCTGCACTATAACACATAGAATAGGTGAGGTGGTAACAGTTCTGAAAGATCATCACAACTGTCATATCATCTCTAGCAGAAGGATAGGATAGTTTTGAAATGTAAATACATGTCCAATTTGTGATAAGAGCACAAAAAAGGCATTTTAAAACTGATCATTTTTACTTGAAGAACACAAAGTACATCTATTACAAAAATTACATTTTCAAATACCTATTAACTTGTTATAAGTAAAATAACTGCAGGAAAAACAATGACAGAATTACAAATGTTTAAGTACTCAGGACCCTTTAATGGTAACTATACTTTTTGTTGAGTACAATTTACTTCCAAGATTTTTTTTGAAAAGGACAAAAACCAGTAAGTAACAGGTAGGATTCTTATTTAAAGCAAAATATAAACAAGTCTTCCTTTCTAGCTTCCAATGGAGGCTGGAAGAAATTATACTAAGTTACTAAAATTAAGGCATAGACTTTTATTGATGACCTATACTAGTGATAAATAAAATGACTTACAAGGGAATTTAAAGAAAGCACATACCTCTCCTACTGAAAGAAAGCTGTAAAAAAAGTAGTTCTAATTAATTTACATTTCCCCCACTGCTGCCTATTCTAAGCCAGAAACTAAACAGAGTATTTCAGATATTTTTAGTTCAATATACAGAATACTTCCCTTAAATATATTTAACCAATGTAGCTTTTCGTTTAAATAATTATTTTTCATTTACATCTGAATAATCATTTCCCCCAAAGACATATTTACCTTCAGCCAGTGCTGGTGATTCTGTCCTTGTCCTTCTATCTGTTTAAAGAAAGAATAAAGAAGGAAGTCTAAAACATTATACTTTGAAACAAGTTATTACAGTTAATTTTAAAAATAAGTATCACTGAATGCTAGCACATGCATGTTACGTATTTCCTTGAATTAGCATGACTGCTGTCTATAGAGGGTATAACTAAAATAAACCGTGTTAAGCCCTAGAAAAACAATGCATGATAAAACCACCAAGATGTCACCCTCAAGACACTCAAACACTAACACATGTACCAAGATAAACACAGAGTTCTCATCACAGATCATGAAACTAGCAAAGACAAGAGAAGGAAAACTGGTTATTCCTCTTTATTCTTGTGGCAGGGGTCTAAAATTATACAGACATATTTATATATTATCACAATTTAAATTCATTTAGTACCAATATATTAAAAACCCATAATCCTTATGCCATGATGATAACTTCTTACTTACCAGAGGCACATTTGGCAAAACTCAAGTTAACTACAAAGTCCTGTCTAGGATTAGTTTTTAGGACCTAAAATAATTTTAGATAAAATGAAACTTCAGCCATGTGTGGTGGCACATGTTTGTAATCACAGCACTCAGGAAGCTCAGGCAGAAGGATTGCCACGAGTTTGAGGCCAGCCTGGGCTACATAGCAACATCCTGTCTCAAAAAAGAAAAAAAAGAAAAATTCTTTTTCTTTAAGTCTGCAACTAAACTATACTAAACTAGCAAATATCCAACTAATGTAAATAGTCACCTTTGTCTAATTGTTTAGTCTATAGTTCAAGTTGTAAATTTAACAAACACACAATGTATGAAAATGAAACACACATGTATGAAAATGTTGGGTACAATGCTGAATTTTACTGTCTTCAGACAGTAAAACTGCACTGTCTTTCTAAGAGAATACATCATTTTATCATGTATCCTATCTTCTACAGGCTGAAATGTAGTTCTATGTCTTTTTTTTCCCCCTTGTTTCTTTTTAATAAACCAAAAAATGTAAATAAGACTACCAAAATTTAGGCTCCTGTGATTTAGACATTCTGATTCTGGGGAAGAAAAAAGGGCTTCTGCCAAAAGACACAGGGAGGGCTCTGCAAGATTCTGAGGTAGTAACCACTGCTTGTTCATCTCTGACTTCTAAGCAGCCAGCTAAGTTTAATTACCATATTGGGAGTTGGGGCTAGAGGGCTGTGCTATAAATTGACCCTAATAACTAAAGGGACCTACAGGTGATTGTACACATAGGATACAGGAGATATTTTTTGTTTGTTTGTTTGTTTTCCGGTACCGGGAATCGAACTCACAACCTTGCGCTTGCCGGGAAGGCTCTGTGCTGCTGAGCTAAATCCCCAGCCCCTACAGGAGATATTATACCAAGAATCAAGGGAATTTGAATGGTACAAACGTATCCAGTGGTAACTCTTAAAATAGGCACCTGCAGCAATTATGCCATAAATAAAATAAACAACTAAGTGTCTTTAACATTTCAATGTCTGTCACTCTACTAGAGAAAGCCTGGTGAAGTGCTAGCTGAAAATCTAGAATAGGAAGTAGAGAACTGAAATGATGAATAACACTGTTTCCTTTAATTCTCCTGTAACAAGTCTACTGTGGAGACTGTGGCCAGCCTCCACTTTGAATGGCTTTGCAGTAGGAACTATTCCTGGACATAGTGGCCAGCACTTAATGGGAGGTGGAAGAGAGTCGATGTAAAATACCTCTTGTGCCTGCCTCTCATTTTCAACCCCCTGAGGCATTTCCCCTTGGCTGTACTCTCTGGCTCACCTTCTGCTTTGGGATATGCAGTAAAGGATGTCTAAAAAACTCCCCAACTACTCACAGACACATACAAACCTAGAAGTTGAAATGTTCACACCACTGCAACACCTGATCAATGGGGAATGGAACTTGTTAGACAAACACTGCCCCTTGTTCCCACCCAAAGGCACATCCTTCTTGTTTTCTCAGAGAACTTCCACAGGACCAAGCTCCAGCTGCTCACAGAAATGACCAGGTCAACAGCACTCTCTTGGATTGCCCTTCCCTCCTTCCTGTTTCACTTAGCCCCATCTTCCAAACTGTATTCTTATTAACAAGTCCTCAAATAAACTGCCTCCAAGAAAGCCTGTCTCAGGCTCTGCTTCTTGCGAGAAATCACATTAAGACACTTGTCTTCCAGGATACCATACTCCCTCCCTTTTTATCCTACCTCACTGGATGCTTCTTAATTGTCTTTTTGTCCCCTCAAAGTCCTGAAGGCTGACATGACCAAGGCTCAGGGCTGAGTCTCCTGCTTTCTCTGTGGTCTCACTGTGTTTCATGGCTTAAAGCATCAGCTTTGTATCTCAAATTCCATGTCAGTCTACATGCTTCTCTCCACCTCCATATACACAGCCACTGCTTACTCACTATCTGCAATGGAATGTTCAAACTGAACATATGCAGAACTGAATCTACCTTCCTTCCCCAAATCTGCTCTACCTGCAGTCCTCCATCTCAGGTGACAACATTCTACCCTTCCAGATTCTCAGGTTTAAAACTCCAGAGTCCTTGTCCACTAACCTTTCTCACATATTCTATCGGAACTCTTACTACCCAAAATTCTCAAGCTACCATCGCCTATTAACTCAAAAGTTGAAGATTCAGCAGTCATTAGCCATATTAGATTTAATATTCCTTCTGTAATCAAGAAGTTCTAGAATACAAACTGCAAGGTTAAGTATGTATGGGATTGGTCAAGCCACCTGAGATAGAAATGTTAACTAAGGCAAACTAACACACACATTTTATGTAAACAGTGCTGTTGCTATTGACATGCCATGCTAAAAATACATTTGATCCAATATTACAGATATTTGTGTCAGTAGATCTGGGATGTTAACAACAAATGCAGTTACATTTTAGAAACACTCAGAAGGCCAAACAAAACAGTCCAAAGGCCATATTTGGTTAATGAATCATTAGTGTGAAACTTTTGCTCTAAAAATTTCAGTGTCTACAATTTACCACACTATTAATTCTTTTTTTTTTTTTTTTTTGGTTTTTCTCCGGTACCGGGAACCGAACTCACGACCTTGCACTTGCCAGGCAGGTGCTTTTGCCGCTGAGCTAAGTCCCCAGCCCCCACACTATTAATTCTTAATAAATCACTTTTCTCTATCACTTAGAGCATGAATGGGAGCAACTTAGTTTCAGAGCTGAACCACTGTGGTTTCCTCTAAAGCCCTTTTTAGGTCAATGCTATTACAAATAGAAAGAACAGTTTATTTTTAAATTTTTTAGTCAATGACAAAATCTCTTTCCCTAATGTCCACCACAGCCACCCATAATTAAACAAGTGCCTTGGCTGGTCACTTATAAAAGTGGCAGGGACAAACTACTGCTATTTGCATAAAATCACAGAGGACAATTCAATTTATCCTAATTAACAAACTAAGACCTAGTTTTTAAAAAACTTGTAATTATAGTTACCCACAGAAATGTCAAGTCATAAACACTGAACAGGAGATAATATTTGAATTGAATAATCCAGGCACCACTTAAAATCTTTAGATCTGGCAGTTTTTCAAGTTATTTATTATATGTCTTTGCCTCTAGCAAAGATAAGACATAAAAGCTGTGACTTCAGAGCATTCTGTCACTCATGTTTATATCTTTACAGTATTTCAAGTGATGGTATAAAAATCTAACTGGTTTTGCAACCTAAGTTGTAGTACTCCTTCACTGGGTACATGATAAAATCTACCCAAATTCAAAATGTTTAATATCTCCTTGACATACACAAAACAATCTTTAAAACCATCTTTGAAAAAGAAAAGGGTTCTTGAATTAATAAGCCAAATGACCAGACTCCCAGATTAGACAATAACTATTATAAAAGCACAATAGTATTAAATTCCAACAAAAATGACTAGCTTTTAATTTAAGAACTTGAAAAAGTATTCTATATTCATTTGGGAAAAAAAAACATGCAAGTCTAAAAATTTTACTTAAAAACAAAAGAACAGATGAAAAGAACCACTCTTTTCATTAACACTTAAAATTGTGTGGCACAAATCTATAGTTATGGTAAAAGACAGAAATCAAAAAAGGTATAATTGCATGTAAGTAGAAACACACACATCATTTATCAGAGTTTACTACATACCTAGTAACGAAGCAGATATGCTAGGAGATGTTATGATGAGAAAGACCATGTACACTAGAAGTGTCCAGTGTAATTTATTACGGCAATTTAAATTTTCAAGGAAAAAAATGCACCCTAAGAAACATCTACATAAAGTTCTATAACAAGAAAATGAGTAGGGGCCAGGGATATCTCAGCAGCACAGCACCTGCCTGGCAAGCATAAGGTCCTGAGTTCAATTCTCAGTATCAAAAAATAAAAAAAAAAAGAAAAGAGTAAGTTTATTTCCAACTAGGGGTAGGGAATGGATGGATATCAGATGTTAGCAAAACTTTTCTCAAGCCCTGGTGTCTGAAATGAACTTTGAAGAATGGATTTGGTTAAACAAGAAAGGAAAGTAAAAGAATATTTCAGGTGCAGAATGTATCATCATAGAGCAATGAAGAATGAAAATTTTATGTAATAAATGGTGTTGCTATAACCCAATGGAAAACTGAAACAGGTCCTTCTCAGCCAAGACTGTATACTGTGGATAGATTATAGTGTTTGATTTCTCAAAAATAAGCCTTAGAAAATATAAAGCATTATCTTACTTATCTTTGGAGAGTAATACTAACATTGGAAGCAAAGTAAGAAATTTTAAATGGAAATATCTAATCAGATAACAACTTAAAAAAAGGTTACAAAAGTGTTTTGATAATTTCACATGAATGTATATAATCAAGCTACAGGAAAGTATCATGATGTTATGCTTGCGTAAACCCTCCTGCAGTCCTGGAACAGGCGTCTAGAGTTTTTGATTGATTCATGGTCCAATGCTGAGACTATGGGTGTGAGTGCTACACCTACCATAAGGGAGGAAAAGAGGCTTGCTGTCTCCTGCTCC